AGAGAGACACACAGCCTGCGTCGTGAAGGACGTGGCTGAAGGAAGTTTGCCCTGCGCCTTATTTACTCCACGAGATTCAACTTCGTAGAAAACAAATTATGTATCCATCCGCCCGTTTTCGGAATCCCCAGGACGGGATTCGGCTTGCATATCCTGCAGACGGGTAGGAAAGGGAGAAATAAAGAGGGAAGGAGAGCACATTATCAGAAAAAGATTAGTTCTCCACAAAACAGTTTACTTTTCCACAAAACACGATAAATGAAAGTTGCGAACTTTACATTTGTAAGAAAAAAGTTCAACACCACGCGAATACCGGAAACAATTGCGTCAACAAATCAAAAAGAACCACACTGACCCACAGGGGGGAGAGAAAAACAAAAAAAGAAAATAACGTTGAAAGTAGCTGAGCGCCAAAAACGTGTTGAAACGACCAGCATTTTTCAGCCGCTGCCATTGTAATAGGCTCGCAATACCACAACCGGAGCCACCGTCGCTGTGCATTTATTCGGGGAACCCTTCCTTCACAGCCAGAGCCAATGAGGATCCCGCAAACAGGCCCAGCAGCAGCCCCACGCTCGCCATGATACCAGCAAGCGACCGCTGCCCCGCGCTCACAAGCGACGGTGTGCGGGGTGCATGAATCATCCCCATACCACCAAAGTAGCCGTTCGTCAGACCCCAGATCAGGCTCAGGATGTACGGCAGGGCAATGCCAGGGATGATGCCACGCACACACAGCACCAGTGGTGGGACAACAAGAGTGCGCAGGAATGTACCATACAGTACAACGCGCGGCGAGGGCTGCAGACGCTTAAAGAGAAGGAGGAAACGTGATATGAAATCGCCGATGTTGAACATGGCAATGATAACTGTCAAATACCAATCATTGTCCGTCTTCACGGCGAAGAACACACCAGGGAAGACGAGGAGTGTGGCCCCAAAGACAACAAAGCACGCCATCAGCATTGGCCAAACAGCCAAAAATACTGTCCATATGTGCGCGTTCAGCATCTGCTGCGTCGAGGTGATGTTGTCCACCTGGTCGATGTCGTGCATCTTGTCCGCATCGCCCTCCGCATTCAGCACATTCACTTTACGGCCATCGCATAGGTTGTCGTTGCCCTCATTCACTGGCTCCACCAAGTCTTCATTGGAGTCGCTCTTCACCTGCATATTGTCCTCAGGTGTTTCAGCGTCCGGATTGTTGTGGACGTGGCGGTGGTCGTGGGCGTACCGGAACTCCGCTGTGTACTTCCTCGCAAAGGGGTTCCGCGGCATTATAATCAGCAGGACACAGGAAACGAGCTGCAGACCCATCGCCACACCGAAGTAAATACGGGACTGGGTCTGCACACTGTCGAAGTCGTCTGCCATGGATGCCTTGATGATAATCGACATCGTGGAGGACAAAATTCCGGAGACACCTAATCCCCACACATAAGCGCCGTAGAACTTCGTCGGGAATGGGCCAGCAAGAGCATTCGTTGTGGAGTCGCAGAGCGTCTTCGAGATCCCACTAACAATAGCGATGACCATGACGGTGGCCTTGGCGCCCGTCTCTGTGGCCCCACCAACGGGAACAAGGATAAGGGCAAGAATCTCGCCAAACGGAATTAGCAGCCCAGCAATGAGACGTGGACGAAGAGGAATGCTCCTACCCGCCGGAGTCAGCATGAACATCTGACACACAGTCTGCGTACCAAACACAGCGACGTTGTAGTATGTCAGAATGTTAAACCAAAACGATGGATCATCGGCTTCGACATCCGGGTCGCCTTGTGCGTACTTGTAGTACTCCGTAATAAATGACGGGGCTGCCATGATTGAGTTCGACACCATCATCACCGACAGCCCAAAGAAGAGGAAGGTGATGTACACGAGGAATTCCCCCCATGAATCGAAGCTGGCCACCGCCATGGCTGCGTTTGCTTGTGTGTTTTTCAACGAAACTAACGGGCCTTATCGAACAAAATCAAAACAAGTGTAAGAGGCAATGAATGACAGTCATTGATGATGTACACACAAGCAGAGAGACACACAGCCTGCGTCGTGAAGGACGTGGCTGAAGGAAGTTTGCCCTGCGCCTTATTTACTCCACGAGATTCAACTTCGTAGAAAACAAATTATGTATCCATCCGCCCGTTTTCGGAATCCCCAGGACGGGATTCGGCTTGCATATCCTGCAGACGGGTAGGAAAGGGAGAAATAAAGAGGGAAGGAGAGCACATTATCAGAAAAAGATTAGTTCTCCACAAAACAGTTTACTTTTCCACAAAACACGATAAATGAAAGTTGCGAACTTTACATTTGTAAGAAAAAAGTTCAACACCACGCGAATACCGGAAACAATTGCGTCAACAAATCAAAAAGAACCACACTGACCCACAGGGGGGAGAGAAAAACAAAAAAAGAAAATAACGTTGAAAGTAGCTGAGCGCCAAAAACG